TTAGGTGATCCGTTTCTTTGTACAATTTGAAATCAATTGTTGCTGTTTTTATGCTGAACTATTGAAGATTCAAATAATTGAGATTCTTGATTGGAAAGTGTTAATTTGATTTCTTAGAAAGTTTTTAAATATGTAATCGTCAATTAAGAATGTAATTATGATCGATCATTGCTTATTAATGGAAATTGTGAATTGAAATACTTTTAATTTGAATTGAAATTGTTTGTTGCTGAACTGGTTGTTTAGTTGTCTAAATAATTAAATAAATGAAAATGATTTCAATCGTTTATTTCTAGAAAGGGAGTTAATTGGATTCATTTTGCAGGTTTAATTCGAACCATGTATAATTCATGAAAAATATGCAATTATAATTCTATAAATTGTTGTTGAACATTATGGCATTAGACCGCAGTTTGATGTTGAAAAGGTCAGGTGATGGATTTCTTTCTGATAGATTCATTGAAGGTGTTGAAGAGTTCATTGAATTTGCCATGTCTCGAACAAGAGATGGAGATATGATCAAATGTCCATGTTCTATATGTAAAAACACAAGGTTTCTCAAAGGATATGATGTGAAATTTCATTTTTACAAAAATGGATTTACAAGGGGCTATACACAGTGGAACACACATAAAGAACCATTCAGTTTCAATGGTCCAAATTTGGTTGAATTCTCAATTGCACAAGCTACAACCATTAAGAGCCATGAAGAAATGGTGGTAGATGCAATGGACCCTGAAATGTACCATGATTACATAAATCCTAATGTTTGCGGTCATGAGGAACAAACCCCAAATCAACATGCCGCAATTTTCTTTACACTATTGGAAGAAGCTAACAAACCTATGTGGCCTGGTTGTAGTAGGCACATAAACCTTTCTACTATGACACGACTCTTGAATCTGAAGTCTAAGTTTAATATGTCGACAGCATGTTATGATCGTATGCTGTCTATAATTAAGAAAAGTATGCCAGAAGGTGATCGCTTAGAAGCTATGTTCTATAAAACAAAGAAAATGTTATCTAGTTTTAGCCTTGGTGTTATGAAGATTCATGCTTATGTGAATGATTGCATGTTGTACTACAAAGAAACCGAGAGCATGACTCAGTGTCCTATGTGTTTTAGTCCATG